CAAAACACAGTGCTGCTGTGCGATTTGTTTGGGCATCACAGATGTCAAGTGTGAAATCTGTGTGAAAACGAGTTACTTGTCTACTTCTCTGTGTCCTCTTTCAGCAAATGGCAGTGTACTTGTAACTCCAAATGCAGTTTTCAAAGTTTTAAAACCTTTTATAAGCATGATAGACAGCACTTCTAATTTAAAGTAGCCTTCAAATTATCCTTAAAATTGCCAAAGCTGTGTGCAAGGTTGACATAAAAATAAAACATTTATAGGAGCTTATAAAACTCAGTTTTATTTTCAAATGGTCACTATCCAATATAAATGTATCCTACCTACTGTTTTCCTTGCCTCCGAAAAAAAGTTCATGTACATTTGCTGCTGTATAGTGCAGATGAAATATTTTAAGACGAGTTACTTAAAATTGCATGAGCTTCTAACAGCATGTAATAAATCCATGTCCTTATTTTTCCAGCAGAATACACTGTGCCACTTTAAGAGCGTCTTGGAAATGTGTTTTTTATTTTTCTTTTTTAAGGTTGCAGCTAAAAGATGAGTGGAAGGTGTTGTAAATTAAGCATGTGTTTCTACCACTCTATATCCAAAAACAAAAATAAAAATTGTGGTAATATAAAGCTGTGTGTTTAAAATGACTGTAGGATGATTATATAGCAATGGGAATTTATTAGATTCCTTTATATTTACACTTTAAATTTCTGTAACGGCATAGGACATAATTTTGGATGCAAATTTGATGGTTTGAAACACTTGCTCAATCAAAATGCTTTTAAATACATGTTTTGTAGATCAGTATAGATAATAGTTAGGAGAATTAAATTATTTTTTTTTAACAAAAGTGCTGGTGGTATCAATTGAGAATATAATTTAACTCTCATTTACTGTGTAGTTTATGAAACAGTATCCTTATAATATTGAATATATGACTGTCTTCTAAGACATAGCAAATACTGACATAATTTTTACTTATTAACAGGCTATAGCAAATAGCCCTAAATTGGGACAAGTAATCCTTTAAATGAATATTAAAGACTTCTAAATTCATAGAACTTTAATATGTAACCATAATTTTAAGAAATAGATTTGCCTTTTGAAATAGGTCATAATACATTTGTACTGGGAGAGTGCCCACAGCACTCATCAAAGCACATGATAACTCTGCTTATTTGCAGTTAAAAGATCTCACTGAGGATTCTTTGAGCTGCAAAACCGTTTGACTTTGCCATGCTCATGGGGTTTTCCTCTTGCTTTGTTAATATAAAAGGAAATTTAATAGGTTTAACAAATGTACCCTTATCCGGATAATCAGCGTATTTTGCTTATTAATAGCTTGTTTTCTGGAAACCCTAAAGCAAAAAATTCTTTTTTTCTTACACAACTTTATGTGAGAACAGGCAAAACTGTAAGCAAAGTTTCTATGTTTTTATTTAATATCTCCTTGGTTTCTTTTTTAATGTTAAAACTGTAGTGATTGTATATCATTCCAGCAGTGAAATTCTTATTAGAAGTTTTATATTTTATTTTAAATTCTTTAAAAATCCCTCTATTTACAGAATTCTGAGAGGAACATTTGTTATCAGTAATAAAATGACTGTTGTCTAAGGTTAGGGCATAATGATAATCCAAAAGGAACTAAATTGCATTTTAGGATAAACTGTTTTTATATCCTGCTCATTAAGAAATGTATGCAGTTTAGCTTTTGAAAGAACAGAAACAACAAGGTAGTAAAAATAATGATCTGCTGTGGGTAAATTCTGGCTTCTCTCAAAGCTTAAGATGATTTAAAAAGAGCCACTGTGGAACTGTGTAATATTTATGTTAAAGTATATAAAACATATATAAATATTATGTGGAAAAGTATGTTTTCTTCTTAGCTTAATGATTTGTCAGAGTGTTACATTAAAAAAGAAATCACTCTGTAAGATGCACGTTTCCCAGAGCTTTATAGCTGATCTGTAGCTTTAGTTAGTGTTTGTCTCAAGATTAAATGTGTAAAAAGAACATTTTGGGCTCATTTACCTAGAGGACGCCAGTCTGATACAGTCATGCAGCATCCTCTCCTCCCAGTAACGTTCAAACTAATTTAATCTGTCAGTATTTGCTGTGTTTGTCCAAGGACTTGACAAAACTAATTTCTCACCTTATTCCTAAAATTAAGCGCCTTCTTAGAGGAGAGGGACCCCCTCAAGAGGCAGGCTGTATTAGGAGATCATCCCTTTCTAGACCTCAGTGGGTTCATAGGAAAACATTGCTAAGATATGGAAAAAGCATTGGGAAGAGGCAATACTAATGAGCACAGAATGACTTGTATTTTTGAGGAGCACTCTGTAAATAAAGAGTTGGGATTAAGGTATGTTAGCATTTTATGTCTTTTTTGTGTGTGGTTGGCAGTAGATAGAGCAATTTTAATAACATATCAGCAGGTCTCTTCCAGGTGCCCTTTATCAGACTGTAAAGCCCCATAGAGTAGCTAAATTACAACTCTCCCAAGATCATGACAATGATCAAAACCTCAATGCTACAAGACGTGGGGAAAAATACCTTTTAAAAGCAGTCTGAAGTGCATCTAAGTTATTTTGAAGTTCTCTTTAATAAGCATGGCAAGCATCTCTTTGGCAAAGTAAATAACCAAACTCTAATGCATAATGTTTAATAAATATTAGAGGGCACTTAGGAATGTTCTATTAATTGGATTTCTTGAGTAGTTAAACATTTCTAACACTGTAATTTTGTAGAAAGCAAAGGTGCCTCTTGCTGTGCAATTAACTCATTTATTAACACTAGAGTTGGTTGGCTGCTAGCTGACCTGATGTTCTCACAAGGGCTCGCACTTATTTCCCATGATAATCTTCAGATTACAGACTCAGACCAAGGCGAAGGGAAGGCAGCATTTTGTGCTTTCTCCAGCAAGTCAGTACAAAGCTACCTAGAAGAACTGATGATTAAGTGGCCCTCGGTTCAAGCAACAAATGGTTTTTGGAAACTGAGAGGCGGCTGTGGACAGACGTTCATATTTCATATGTGTTTTTCATATCCAGTTGTACTGGTGAAATAGGTTGCAAGCCCAAACTCTTGATCACTTTTCATGATTAGAAGAATGTGCAAGAACTTTATAACCTATTTTTGCTCAAAGAGAACCGGAGTAGCTCAAATAGCCTGAATAGCTTGGTCTTTGCTAACTTTAGCTGATTTGGAGCAGGCGCCCCTAAGAGGAGCAGCTGCAGCGGGTGCGAGTAGCTGGCTGGCACAACACAGCTGTGTGCAAAGTGCCTCTGTCCACGTCCTTACCGCGTTTGTGGCTGCAATTAAGGATCTGACGGTCGGGCCCTTCCCGCCTTCCTGAGGAACGTCAAGTCAGCATCAGATGGCCATTGCCTGCGTCTGCAGCCAGCACTGACCTTGAAGATTTCCTCAGAGCTGGATGGTGCTGCTCCTCTTACCGTGCCAACCTCGTGTCAGCAGAACAGCCGTGTGGGTGCTGGGTGTGTTTGCAGGAATTTTGTGTGTTGGCATTGGTGTCTCTACTCCAGGGCGAGCTGCTCCTTATTAGCAGGGTCGGGTCTAGCGCCAGCGCTCTGCTGGGAGGACACTTCTTCTGCATCTTGAGGCAGTGTAGCCTAATTGGTGGATCCTTGGTATAGGCTAGGCCTAAACAGAATAAAAGCAAGCTTGGATTCCTGTCACTTGAGAGGGGAGGTTTGCTCTACCTGTAATAACTACGTTGTCTGGAAAGTTCACTTGGTCCCTTAGTTTGCTGCAGGCCACACTGAAAATTCATGTTGGTTGCTTCTGGACAGCAATTGCTGAATTTAGACAAGGCCTAGAAGAGGATTCTATCTTTAACTGCAGAAAATATTGAAGATATGAGAATTTGCAGTAATGCTGTAAGAGTCAGTAATTTCGTTAAAATTTCCTTTCTTTGGGAAGGAAATGAATGCTCATTGGAGTTGTGTAATGTGGATAAACAGCTTTACTGGGGAAGTGAATGTGTTATTCCTAACCCAGTGAGGCCTAGGTACTTTAATGGCCTAGAGGCAGGGCAGAGCAGGCTAAACAACATAAAGAACTAGTGCAACCCCGGGCCTTGGAGTTTGGTTCAAAGTTATAATAGGAACATATATTTTATGGCTTTATTTGTGTAAACATGTTTCAGAAATCTCTTGATTATTTATCTTAATGTAATATAGAGGTGAAACTGCTGGGAGACCTCAAAAGAAGTATCTGTCATTTTTTTCCCCTCTCAGAAAGAGGGTGACTGTATATCTGAATTTCGGTGTCTACATTCTTTTTCTCTCTTAATTGCTGTCTCTCTCTTGAGGCTAGAACCACTGTCCAAGTGAAATCTGGAGGTTTTATATGTTTGTCCAGAGTTGCTGAACATCTGCAGTCTTCTCAGAGGAGCAGTTGCAAATACACTGTTGGCTATTTGGCAATTTCAGGCACTCTTGCTGTTCATATTCAGTTAGACTCTACAGTGTGTGCCTAGAAAAATCCACATTTCCAATAAACAACACATCCTCCTCATGTGTGCAGTGCAGGCTGGATGTGTGCACGGTACTCTCTAGCAGCCTGAAGCCCTGGACTCCCTGAACCCATAGTACTGTGTGTACAAAAACATACATCTCTCTGGGAAATTCTGGAGAGAACTACAGCAACCCTGCCAAAAATCCCAGAACCTTTTTTGAACAAAATTTTCCAAGCCCTACAGTTTTCCAAGGACATAAACTCCCACATCTGTGTCTTGGCAATGAATAGTTTGATTTCCCTCCTTTGCATTCCACCCTGCTAGCTTGTTAAGTATTCATCAGCTGCAAAACTCTCATGAGACTTCCAAATGTCAAGCATTTGTGGACTGACTTTTCTAGATAGGCACATACATACACATATGTGTATATGTGCTTAGGTCTAAAATACACTGTTATAGTAAATGCTCCATTCTTGGCTGTCTTAACTTTTTCTCTAATATTTTTTTTGTTGCTCTTGTTTCTGAACAGGCAGAAATACTCAGTGTGCTCAGTCACAAAAACATCATCCAGTTCTATGGAGCTGTCATTGAACCTCCAAATTATGGCATTGTTACAGGTAAGGTTTCTTATTTCACCTTTATTTGATTCTGTAGTAACTGATGTTACAAGGTTTTAGCTCTACTCAGTTTCAGGATATTGCTAGTTGCTGTGGCCCCTCCTTTGTATCTACACAGAGGCAACTGCAGGCGTTCTTCTTAAAGCACAAATTCAGCACTCCCATAAAGAGAATCTTTCACTGTGTTCACTTACCATGGTCTATAAATTGTTTTTTCATTTTATTTGACATCTGATAGAGAAGTCAAGGCTTTCAGGATGTGAAACTTAAGAGGCTGAAGGTCTGCTCAGAGCAAAGTGGTCCCGTGAGTTCTACGTCTGGGCAATATGAGAACCTACATTATGAACTTACCAACTGCAGGCAAAGCATTGCTGCACGGGCCAAGCTCTCGCTCAGTATCATCCATATCAGTAGTCAGTGTCTCCAGGAGTTTCTGCTGAAGGGGAACCATTCTGGATCATGGGCTGGAAAAGGCACAGCTGTTGATCAGCTATAGAAATCCCTCAGATGGTGGACAGAACCTGTGAAAATTCAGTTATTTCTACCTCTCTTCTAGGGCTGAGATACTCAGGTAGTGTATGAGGTAGGAGCACGTGTGACGTGGTAAACTGTTGAGAGCAGCTGGAGCTTGATTTACAGGAATGAAAATACCAGCGTAGTGGTGGTCAGGGTGTTGAAGCCACTTCATAGATTCCAAAGGTGTATAAAGGATGACCTTGGTCTGGATGTGAGGAGGCTGCGCTGGTGATAGCAGGTCAAACAGGATTCTGAACATCTTCTTGGGGCAATGACAACAATAGAAAATTATTAAATGAAATAATTATAGTAAATTGCAACATAAGAAGAATAAGTGTAAACTAGAAACTAGACTAACAAAACAAATGTGTAATCAGTAGCTGAGGATGAAGCGTGTATCAGAAAGGCCTCAGTTTAAGCTTATAGAAAGTCAGTATTGAGAGATCATTTGAGCAGCTTGCCAGTCACAGGACAGAAAGTGGCCAAAGTTGTTCATTATGTCATTGGGAACATGGACATCTTTAACCATCAGTGAGAATAGTCTCTTCTAAATAGTCCAGCCACTTTATTACTGAGAGAACTCTAATTTTGTCCTCACTAAAGAATTTTTTTTCTTTTTTTTTAATTCTATTGAATTCTTTCTGTAATTTCCAAGGAGATTGGAGTCTCTTTGATTGGAATGGCATGAAGGCTGTATTTCCCCAGACCATTTTCAAATGGAAGAACAACTAATGAGAAAAGTGTTAATTGTCCTTGTACCTTTTTAGAGGGACTGTTATTCCATAATCATCTAGATAGTCTTCGATGCCACAAACTCACATTTCTTGTGAGAGAAAGGCCAAAACAAGAAGGAATTTTGAGAAGCTAATGATTTCTTCAGAATAGAGGGATCAAGCACTGGGCTGTCAGAAAAGCTGCATCCGCAGTCAGGACTTGCATCTCTTATCGGGAAGTACACTAGTGTAGAACTAACTGCTCAGCCATCCCTTGAGCTGCAGACGTGAATCACGTTATTACGAATGTCACCGACAGTCTCTGTAAACAGCAGTGTTCGTGTCCAGCTTAGATTCTGCTTGTTGATTACAGCTGCCCCCCTCGGACGAGTCTTGGAGCTTGCATATCCCACTTGGCAGGAGCACGGGCTGTATTCCACGCTGATAGGCTGAGTCCAAGAATTTACAGCCTTTCTAGCGCAAATATCTTTTTCCATTTGTGACAGAAAATTACTACCCTGTTGTAATTTCCAAATCCATACTTTTGTCTTAAAAACCTGTGGAACAGTAGATTTATAGGAAATGTATTAAAAGGGTTGAGCTTTGTTGCCTAGGGGTTATTTGCTTCTGTTCACTCATAGTGGCAGAAGGATCAGCGGCCTGAGTTATCACTGACCCCAAGGATCAAATTATGCATTATAGAGGCATGTGAGATGTGCAGCCAACCTATTCCTGAGGAATCTGTTTTTAAGACATGGTGACATCATGTGTAAAAAAGGCGTATGTTTTATTTGAGGAAATGTGCAGGTCAGCAGCTCAGTGCTCTTTCTGTGACATCAGAAGCTACGCTTTGGTCTTCTGCAGAGGTGCCTTTCAGCAGGAGGGTCACGTCGTAATGATCCCAAACTAATTGCTACTTAGGGATTTTCTCCCTCTTTCATTTCATTTCATTTAGCTTTAGAATCCTCTCAGATGGGCTGTCCTAGGCCAGGCTGCAGAATCAGTCTTGCTCCAGTGTTTCCTTCCCTACACAGTCATCTCCCAGTGGCTTGGACTTCATTGACAAAAAGCAATGTTTACTTTTTATGCATCTGCAGCTTATTGACCACATAATCATACATCATAGTGTATTATTATTATTAGCAATTATATGTATGGTTAACATAATACATATAGGTAATAATAGCATTCCAATTCTGCAGACTTTCCCAAGAATGTAATAAATAGACTTGGGAGACAGGAGATGGAAAGCTCAATGTTCCTGCTTGCATCTCCCTAGTCTTTGTGCTACTTGGCCTAGTTCCCTGGATGATGCCTCCAAAGCCACAGGGATGATATCACAGTAAAGTCCCTCCTCTACCCTAACAAAGAGCTGGAAGAAAATGCATCAATACATGAACTGAGGAATGACTTTCTTCAAAAAAATGTATTTTTGATGAAATGTTTGATGATAACGTTTGATGAAGCGTTAATAATAAATAAGTATAATTTATGGCAATAAATACAAGGGAGCTACAGCCTTTAGGCTGACCTGAAACACATGGAAATCTATTTTACTTTACTTCAATGTTGGTCCTGTAGTTTCTTCCTTACATTTTTATGAGAAAATAGTTTGATCTGCTGCTCTGTTCTTCCATGTCGCTTAGAAATAAAAGGGAGATATGAATGAAAAATTTTAATTTATCTTCCTACCTGCAAACTCTGTCTTTCTAACAGAAAGTTATGCACTTCACATAAGGAAGTAATCATGCTTTATTATGGGACGTAGCCCATGTGCAGTGCTGTTCATTACTGCAAAATAGTCCTTTTCTGCAGAAGCAATAATAATTGCTTCTAATAATAACAATAAACATGCTACCAGATTCATTTCTTAACTGTTGTTCTGATCGGAAGAGGCAATTTCATAATTTGAATATATAAGAATTTAAGGTTATATAAAAGTGGCACTGTGGAGCTTTTAGTTGTTAGTTTCATTTAGTTGTTAGTTTGGTTTTTTTTTTTGGTAGAATTAGCAGAATTGTCATTAGATATTTCAATTTAGGTGTGGTGTTTTAAAAGGATTTTTTTTCATTTTTTTTTAATAGAATATGCTTCTGCTGGCTCACTCTTTGATTACATTAATAGTAACAAAAGTGAAGAAATGGATATGGATCATATCATGACCTGGGCAACAGATATAGCTAAAGGTAAGCAAGGAAAATGATTCAGTACCATTTTACATAATCTGCAAAGTGTGCAGCTGGAGATGCCTTCTGCATGATGTCAGGAAAACTTTTCTGTACTTCCCAATTCAGACTATCCAAAGAAAACACTTGTTGTGCTTTTTAATGTGTTCCTTGGTTACCGTCTTTCTGAATCTCTTTCCGTAGCCAAAATAATTTCTGGAGTAAGAGCACCTTCTGTGAGCCAGCTTTACATCTGGTTTGCTCCTAGGTCCCAAGAGAATAATATTGTTTCTGTAGAATGTATCTTAAGTAAGTGCATAATTGTTAAGACATTTAAGGAAACGTATGAGATTGTTCTCAGTAGGCTTACTGACATTATTCATATAACAACAAAACAAACTGTTTTGTCCTTTGTGTTCTGTGTGACTACACAGGAATTACTGTGAGCTACTAGTTGAACATCTCTGCTACCTGTGTAGGAAAACACTATAACTAGTTATGACATTACAAAACATTAACTTGCTGTTACAGAAGCTCTGAGAGATACATGAGCTTCACTTAGTCCTTTTTATTGAAAATAGATTATGGGAGCTTTTCCTTCTCCTGCAGCCTATCAATGTGACAGATGAACGTGCCAGCCTGCAATAAGGACAAGTAGCAGGAACTGGAAAACATTATTGTTGATAAATGCTGGCCATGCTCAACCTCCTAACCTGACTGTTCCCTTGTTTTGTTCAGGAATGCACTATTTACATATGGAAGCTCCAGTTAAAGTAATCCACAGAGACCTGAAATCCAGGAATGGTAAAGTACCTGAACACTGCATTTGTTGTCATTTGCTAATGTAAACTAATGGAACACTTATAGCTGTACCTGAGCTTTGTGAACATGCAGAACTAAATCTCTGGCTGTCATCAAGCTCTGCAAGGTGCCACTGAGGCGAGGAAGAGCCTGTTCCCTCCTCTTCCCTCCTCCCAGCCCTAAGGCCATCTCACTTACAGGGCCTGGCATTGTGGAGCGCTCCTCAAGTTGGGTCTTGCTGATCAGTCTTAGAAGGTCAGGGATTGCCTGGACATGACCCATTTCTCCTTTTTGGAAGCATCGAGAGGCAAGAAAGACTAGCACAATCTAGACAACAATAGACTGAACAAGGCCTGGTATTTCTTGCCGGAAAAGGTTGTCATCATTGTGGCCTACTTTGAGGTTTGACAAATATTCATGCTTTTGAGAATTACAAACAGTGTGGAGCTGCACTGGGTAGATTCTCTTCAGCAGTTGAGAAGCAGTTATGAACTTTGCTAAATATTGACATGAACTGAAACATTAGCTATTCGTAGTGGGATAATAGAGACACTCATGGGGAAGGTGATAGTAAAGACAAGACTAATCTAGTTTCAGTTATAACTGCTATATTGGGGAAAATTAGTATTTGTATTAGTATTCTTGTAACAGATTGATTTTTGTTTTTCAGTTGTTATAGCGGCTGATGGTGTTTTAAAGGTATGAATATTCTAATTATTTATACAGAGATGTTGCTACTGACTTGATATTTTGATGCCCGGTAAATGAGAGGTTGCTGCTCTAACATCTGTTCATTTTGGTTTGTTTTTGCTAGATCTGTGATTTTGGTGCCTCAAGGTTCCACTCTCATACAACACACATGTCTTTAGTGGGCACTTTCCCATGGATGGCCCCTGAAGTAATCCAGAGTCTCCCAGTGTCCGAAACGTGTGACACATACTCGTATGGAGTGGTGAGTGCACGTGATTTCTCTGTGTGTGGTAGAAGAATTCCGGTGCAGGATTGTCTTTCTGAATAACAACAACAACAAATGCATTTTTTTTTCAAGACTTGAAAATATTTTTGACGTGCCTGAGAATGATGGAATGAACAACTTCTTGCATATATAGTAAGATTCTTCAGTAAATCCTTATTTACTAAATGAGGATTTAAATAAAATTCCTTCTCTGATTAAATGAGCAGCATGCCAGAACGCTGCTTTCCTGGAAGAACTGAGCCTGTCAGAGGCTTGCCGGAGCTACAGAACAATATCCATCTTGAATCTCTGCTTGTGTTTTAGTGGGACAGATGAGAAGTAGTTCATATTCACAGTAAATGTATAACAGGAGGAATTGGTGAGGATATTTCCATAAAATGGAGTGTCATGTTAAAAAGTAAGCCACTTTTTCATGCCTAATTGTTAAAAGAGCCTGCGATCATTATCTGGCAGCTGTGAGAACAGAGACTGCACCTCTTGTGGAGGTAGAGGCCTCATATGAAAGTGCAGAAAAGGCCAGCAGGGTTCTGCCATTTATCTGAAAGGGGAATAATGATTAACACCGCACCAGAATGTGAGTTTTGCAGGTACAGTAGTGTAAATTATTTCACCCTGTCCACAGTCAAAGTGTAATTTGTTTTTGCTCTGCAACGTGGAAAGCACTAGTAATAGCCACGCTGCTCGGATTAATTGCCTGCCTTGCCCCATAGCCCTCTGTGGCAGGGAGCAGTAACAAATACATCAAAGAAAAACGGAAAGGGAGCAGGGTTACGGTTTGCATATGCATACTGTGTACATATGCATTTTATTTTGCCATTTAGGGGTGCGTGACACAAGGAGGAACTCTCTTAGAACCTGTTAAATATTGCCTCTTTGCCTTCTCCATGGGTGGGAAGAGCGAGATGTGAGGGAGGCACTGCAATTTTAAGCTAGTGCTGATGGCCCAATAGATGGTGACAAACTTCTTGTCAGAGAGTTATTTATAGTGAACAAATTGAGACATGATGTGAAATGTCTTACGAAGAAAGGTTTGAAGATTTGTAAGGAAAGGGGGAAAAAAACCCTATGTTGTCATGTTCAAAATCCTTGCTGGCTTAGCTGAGCCAGGTCACGAGCAGTAACAGAACGCAGCTGACAAATGTAAATGTTAATGTAAACTGTTATTGGAGGCAATCACATATTATCCACTGAAGGGAATCGTTCCAGTTCCAAAAGAAAAAAAAATCCTAGAGGAGAAATTCCAAAAATGGTCTTATAGCTCTAAGTTGCTCACAGTCTTGATGGGAATTACCTGTAAGTGAATTCTAAGAGTGCAAGACATTAAGAAATTATTTAATATGTTATCATGCCAAATATTGCCAAAGTCTGAGGAACAAAATGTCGGAATTAAGTTTATTTTCCTCATTTAAAAAATAACACCCCTTTGGCAGTTCTGCTGTTGGAGGTAAAATTCAGCTAATCTGTTATATGTGAATCAATACGAAAACTAGAATCCTCTAGAATGTTTTAATGTGGTTTACATGTATGTAGGGATACTTCACTACACATGATATCTGCCCCTTTTGTGTATAAATTTCTAAGTTCGTATGTTCTACTGTGGTTACAGTAGATAAGCTATGCCTGGAAACACCATTGCTTTCCAAGGAGATGCAGGGGAAGAACTGAAGAATGACAGTGAGATAACTGTTTTGCTGATGAAATTACTGACATAATGCGGTTGTACCAGCAAGAAATTGTCCAGTATAACTTTGAAGATTGGGATCCCCTAGAATAAGTGTTAGACTATCAGAGAATTAGTTAGATTGAAAACAAAAAATCTTAGGCTATTTTTGTCTCTTTAAATGATTATCATCTGTAGAAACAAATTTTGAAGAATCCCCTTTCAAAGTGAATCGCTTGCCAGCAGCCTTTGTGCTGGAGAGACAAATCTGCTTTTCTTCAGTTAAAGTGCTGATAACAAAGAACAGAATCCTTTCAAATGTAAACTAGCGAGATGCTTGGAATAGACATTCTGTTTGCACTATTCCGGGCCTTCCTTAAGTTTTTAGCTAATTTCTTTTCTATTTTTTTCCCTGCCTGGTCTTTCTTTGTCTATACCTTTTTGTGGTCCTTCCCATTATGAGGTCCTTTCCCAATGGGTGTCAAAAACTTTCTGTCACCTTTGGGTAACAGCTGAAGGTGAGCTTGCTTCTCAGCTGAAATGAACTCCCCTCTCTTTGGAAACAGTCCACGTATATGTAATAGCTAATGTTTATGTTAGTTTGACCTCCACTCCATGAATAGCTAAACAGGTCCATATATTCTTTTGAGGTTTATATTAAATATTTTAGAATACCACATAAGAAATGCTGAAGCTAAATGTTCTGCAAGATTTATTGTGAGACACAGATCTTGAACTTTCCTTCAACCAGGCAATATTCTATTTTCTAATCCATTTCCAAATCCAAAGGCAACAGACACCAAGTGTTACAAGCAATCCAGTCAGACATTCACTCACATCAGTTACACTTTTTCTAATGTCATTGGGTTGCCCAGAAAATGATTTCTTGCTTCTCTTTCAGACAGGAAAATATATGTGGAATTATGGTAATCAAGCTAAAATCTTCTTTGAAGAATATTTTATCCTAGCAAAATTGTTTGTAGTGCACCACAGTGAACGTATGCATCTATACAAATGTATTTAATATTTTAATGCTTACAAGAACAAAAAAAGTGAAGACATTAATTGGTTATTGGTAGCATAGAGACTGAAGCTAAATGTGGCAGCTGTTACGCTCTTAGCAATAGTTCATGCATTGCTTCAGCTATGAGGACATATGTTATTTATAGCGGGAATGTTGGCCAGCACCAGGGGTTATCCCTTACTCTTTTTGAAAAGAATTATGAGATCTTTAACTTCCACTTGGATCAATGTGGAGAAGACTGACCTAATTTTCATGGCTAATAGTAAGGGTAGTACCTGTGGGAGCACCACGCTCACTCCTCGTGCTCTAGTCTGCTAATTGTGGCTCCCAAGATTCATGTGCACAGTGCTACCCATGGAAGACATTTTGAAAACACTGAATTTAAAAAGTGTTTTTTCTTTTTTTCTTCTTTTTTTTTTCTAATTACTCATTCAGATGTTCCCTATCCTGTATGACATTTTCAATTTTTGTTGGCATTGCACTTTTTTTTTTTTTCTGAGTGTTGTTACACTAGTGAGTTAATAGGAATTGCAATGCATAGCAATGCTCACCGAGGTAAGCGTGGGAGCTTTTTCTGAAGACCTTGCCTCCTCCATTCTCGATTTCATGTCCTGGATGAACATTCCTGGATGAGATTGTTCATTCTTTCTCTTTCACCGTATGCAAAGAAGAGCCTGGCATCTTCAGAGGCCACACCATTATATTAAATAATCCTGTTTTCTCTTCCGCCATTGTGCATAGACTGGCTCTTTCTTTGTGAGCACCTGCTGTCTGTCAACCCCGGGATGTTACATGAGCAGGAAAGCAGGTGATCCTGACCCTCTGAGGTGGGAGGGGAAGTGAACCATGTCAGCCTCTCAATTAAAATCCCCCAGAAATGGGAGACAGATCAATTTCCAAATGAGGTGAGCGAGGAGCGGGTGCTGCCAGTGAACAGAGCGTGTCCTGTGGTCGCACAGCCCGGAGCAAGCGCAGCTGCGGGTGCTGCTTCTGCTGCCAAAGGGCTGCGGGGATGGGCAGAGCCAACCGGGAATGCAGTAGATGCCCGTTTGCTGCCTTTTATAAGGCTGACATATGATCGTTCACCTTAGCTGATGATTCAGAGCAGCTAATTGTTAAGATGGGATTGAAGCTCTTAAAAACTGATTATACTGAAATGTCACCACTGGAAGGAAAGTCTTTGTCTGGACCATTGACCTGAATGTGCAGTTCACACTGGTGTTAGAACATTGCTCTACACCCCTGCAGATAAATACACAGGTTTCTGACATCCCAGTTTTCTGTCTTTCTTTTTCTCATACTGCTCATGAAAAACAAAGCATTAAGAAAAGTATTTTATATCTTGTCGACCTTCTATTTTTCTCTCAAATAGCACGTAATATGGAGTGCTTGGAGCTAGTACTGTTGGTTTAGGAAGGCAACGATCCATAAAGGCAGTGGAAATAAATACTAAAGGTGTCATGATAAAGGAATTCAGCGCAGACTGTTCTGCACAGGCTTATGTGTATGAATGGAACGAGGCAGCCCTCACAATTCACAGCCTTCGAAAGGAGGAAGGGAAAAAAAAACAGTTGAGTTTTCCAGCTCCAGGCTCCCAGAGACATTTAAAATACATTTTATTGTGTTCTTTACTTGGAAAATGTATTTAGATACTGTTTTATCTGATGTGCAACCTTGAGTTTCTTCTTTGTGGTTTCCTGTTTCAGGCACATGGATGAAGTGGTTCTGCAAGGCTGCTCAACTGAATGTTTCATTTGGTCCAGGGGCTTTTGTTTTAAACTGGCACTGTTGTATGCTCCTTTTCTGTCTGAACTACATGGGGATACTAAATTATTTCACTCTGCTGCAGTTAAATTTCCTTCTTCACCAGTAGAGAGGTGGTAATTGGACTTACAAAATTATTTTATTTTTCTTCTAAAGGGAATGATTTGAGGCAAACAGGAGAATTGAATACCTGTGTGAATATCTGCCCTTATATATTCCTTACGCGTCAGAAAATTGTTCTTAAATTTGTTTTTCCAAAATTCCCTTAGTTTTTCTAATTGGTCTACAGCTCAAGGAGAATTATTCAAATGGTTCTATTGATGGAGCACCCTGTTCACTTGATTAAAAGCCCAACCTGGCTTCAGTGCCTTTCTTTTTTTTTTTTTTTTTTCCTTCCTCCTGCTTGAGCAGTATCTGCCATTTTTGCATTTTCCTTACAATTACCTCCGTAGCTGGCCAAAATCCATTCAAAATGATGTGGCTGGAAAAAGCCTTGAGTATTGACCCAAAGTGTTGGGATATAGAGACTTGCTTAAACAGCTTAATGCATTTAGTCAGATATTAAATAAATTGTTTTTCTGTTGTGCTTGATATGTGAAGAATAAGTTTAAATGTAGATATTTCTAACAAGATATGGGTATAGACATGGATATTCTGGTAAAGAGATAGAGACATGCAGAAGAGAAGATATAAAATGTCTTTTGATTGAATACCAATACATGTTCTCTGTAACTGAAAAACAAGTTATATTTATTGACAGACAGTCTTTTGATGATACCAGACTTCTTGAACGAGGTAGCTTAAAATCTCAGATACTCTGCTACCAATATGTTAAAGCATGTGAAATTAGAGGAGCTCTATCTACATCTTAAGACAGTATGTCTGTAAAGACATTGAAGGGTACAAATATTTTAATATATATGTTGTATACTATTTAGTATTATTTAGTTTAATAACCCATATTTGGAGACAGGCAATTATAGTTTTACTTACAAAATACTTTCCATAGGTTTTTTTTTTTTTTTTCTTTGTAGGCATATGGTAGGATATGAGAGGCAAAATACCTTTTGGATCAGATTCTGATGTAAAATTACTGAGAAGCTGCAGTTGAAATTATACAAAAATATTTTTAAATGAAAAATGAAAGATGTGGCCAGTTTGGGCTGAGGAGGAGAGGAGGAGTTCATTGCCTTGCCAAGGCTCAACTGCTGAATGTGAACTTTATAGTGCTCAAAGAAAGTAGAAAGCATTTCCCATGGCTCTCACAAAATCACAGGTGTTAGACCCCACACAACCCAGTTTTTCATCTGGGCTTTTCTGAGAAGAAAAAGCAGAAACATTCAAATTAATTTAGTGAGAGGATCTTGCACACAAACACTGGTCCAAGTTACTGCAAATGGAAACTGGTCGTCTGATAATTGGATACAGATAGTGCTGTATCAAGATTTAATAACGTATTTAAAATACAAAGTGCAGAAATAAAAATTCTTTTCTTTTTTTCTGTTCCAGGTTCTCTGGGAGATGCTAACAAGGGAGGTCCCCTTTAAAGGCTTGGAAGGATTACAAGTAGCTTGGCTTGTAGTGGAAAAAAACGAGGTAAGACTACGTTTCTACATTCAGGTACATAGATCAGAAAACAGTATTGGGGTTTTGCAAAAGACTTTTTCATCTTCTTCAAATTGAAAGTAAGTTCACGCGTATGGAAAGATTAGCAGTAGGAGCTAACACAAAGGGTCAAAGTGATGTTATTCCTCATGAATGGACCCTTTACATCTAATTGTTGCAGCTTCACGTCGTGATGCTGTAGATCAAAAATTGTACAAGTACTGTACTAGTTTCTCAGTCTCAATTGTAAAACCTAGGGGTTTGTTCTTAGTGATGAAAGAAGCCATTGCGTCCAAGGTAGGGGAACAGTTTAACTCCATCTCCTGCGTTTAGGACATCTTTTTACTGGCCGGGAGTTGATATATCTGTAAGAGACCTTCAGCTACTTCAACTTAACTCTCCCAGCAGGAGTCACTATAGTACAAGAAACTGCCGCTTAGATGAAAATTTCAAAAATAAAAGAAGAAAAAATAGTTTTAAAAAAAGAGAGAAATTACAGTTTTGCCACCTACGTTCAACACTACATTGAAGATGAGCTCCTCACTGGTATCGGCAAGGCTGTGGCATAGCTGCAAGCCTCCTCATGCAGAGTCTTTCCATTTCAAAAGCACTTCAGTGGTGTAAACACCGTTTGTACAGTGTCCCCAGCCTCGCTTTTCTTCTCCTCACAAATTGAGGCTTTCAGTTAGTTGGACATGTGAGCGTACATCTGAACACCAACTCCCTTGATATCAAAGACAGTAACTACATTTAAAAAACATTTAAAGTTGTGACTGTACCACACACAGACAAGCATGGAAATCCTCCACAAAGATGAAACCTCCACTATCTAGACACAGCGGAAGCTTGGGAAACATTACAATGGCGAAGCACTGACTGTACAATACAGACTTCTATTATTCTACATACACTGTTTCTCCAAACGCTTCCGAGTTAAATAGTAGAGTTAGGATTCTACCTCCTAGTTTAACATTTTCTGTTTGTTTTTTCTGTTTTTTTTTTTTTTTCCTGACTTTTTTTTTTTTCTGCTATTGGGGGACTGGGTTAATTCCAGTGAGTGTTAACGTGATATACTGTTCAGTTGGGAATGCTGCATTAATGAGTGAAGATTATGACAGTGGTCTTCTACAGTGTTTATCAGAAGGCATGAGGAGGCTCTTTCTCCTAGTTTACAAAAAAGCCTCCTATCAGTGTGATGGAAGAGGCCCATAAAGCCTTCCATTAACTGTGTGTCTCCTTTGCCTACCGATTCCATTTTTATTCAAGGGATACCGAGTGACAATTTATTCACGTGATGAAAGACGTCAGAGGGTACACACACCTTTTGTTACAGCTTTCCAGACGAAGGAACTGCATAAACCCCAGTATGAACAAAAAATGGTCATGAGAACTATTTTGCTAGTGGCAGAAGAAACCTAAGGGGATGAAACTTCCAAAGACAGTTGTTCAGCAGTTACTTGTTACTACCGTCTCCTTTGGAAGGGTGCCAGGAAGCTTACAGGGCATTAACAGTTGCTTACATAGCTTTTATTTTTTCTGGCCATGACTTGGAGCCCATGTCCAGGGTAAGCCTTGTGAAAACCTGCTCGCACTGCTTTTCTTCACAGCTGAGTAATTTTGTGTGTCCTACAGCAAGTAGAAGGGCCAGGTTTTGCTCTCAATTCAGTATGTTGACAGTAATGGGGTTGCATATGTCCAGTTCATAACAGAATTGAACAGAACTGAAGCCACTGTTGAGTTGGTCCCTCACTCTTTATACTCTAAATTGCATGTTAAAATCAGCGTGGGATTAGGGCCAAAGTATCACCTATTACTTTGAGTGAAAAATATTGCAGAAATTTTGCAGAGCTTGAGCCCAGTAATTGACATAGAATTTAATGATTCTGTATGTGTCTTTTTTGATCCTGTGCATAATTTCATACAGTGATTTTTCATTCTGGTAGAATTTCTGTATAATTGCTTATTTTTTAATCTGGAAAAGAAAAATATGAGCATTGGGATTACACCCGGCATGAGCCCATAACTCAGTAGAATACTGTGGAGAAATGTAATCTTTTTAGAACATGACACTTTTGAACCTGCTACCTGTGTATTACGTGACAACATTCTGCCCAAGAAAGGCAAATGATAATTGCAACTTACTTTTCACCTCTTGGACTAGCGAGGGTTGCAGACAAACACTGTAGTAAGACTAGCCAGTGTATTTTTAGGTTAATGACTCAACCAAATATCAAGCATCTGTACAATTTGTTTATGTATTGTACAACTTTCTGTGTATTTCTTGCACAGAAATCTTTTCACTTTAAGGTAATACACTATTTTAACAACCATGCTCCTGCAGTGCCCTGACTGTATCTCACATTTCCATTTTACATCATGTTCAAATGCTTGTCCAGCAGATTTTATTAACTCTTGTTTTGGCTGCTGCAGCTTGTAAGTCTTTGCACGTCATATTATAGTAATATAATGGTAGAGCTTTCTCTGCTCTGCTTCTGAAATACCAAGAGTAGCAGAGATCTAAAGTCTTCATGGCAAGTTGGTTTGAACAAGATGTAATATCTGGTTCTTACTTGTTTATAGAACTGGGAACCCTTTTTCCATCTTGGCCCTTCTTATATTTGGACTTGTTCCCACTCTCCACTGAGAAGCTATTTTTTATTTACATTTTTTTCTGATTCAGTATGAAACATCTAAAGTCAGTTAACTGTCTGGGTAAGAGCAGAGGGATCACCTTATATGTGTAATGTTGGGATAAACAGTCAGTCAGCTGAAGAGGTTGTGTATCCATGTGCATAGACATGACAACAAATTTGCTTTTCGGCTTTCCAGTCTAGAAGAGCCTTTAAAAGTCCTCTAAAACTGCCAGAGAGAATCTTGTTAATGGATTAAAAATCTCTGTAAAAAATAATCAGACCATGTTCAAACTAATGCTGTATAGTGAGCAGTTCTGGCTGTATCCAGCAACCCTCTGACTTCAGTCATCAGGAAATAGTTGAGAGTTCACTGGGCCCTATGAACACTCTAAGTTCTTCATATTCTCAGCAATCAATTTGACCAAATACTCATGCAACCTCGTGTGGTGCAGAGCTTCAATTAGCTCTTTTTAGCTTAGTTTCTGTAAGCTACATTCCAGCCATTTGTTACAACAACAGTATAGTACAGCTGGATCATCCCTGTAGGAGAAGGGAAGTAGGCCAGCTTCCAAGTTACACCTGTCTTGATAAGCGTCTTGGAACACTAGGCAGTGCAGTAGCTATCTCCAAAAAATACTATGTTTTATCGTTAAGATCTGTTTGCTTCATTTTTGTCTCGTCTTCTAGCTTTCTTAAGCAATTTGGGTAGTATATTTGTTCCATTCCTTCGTTGTGAGTGTATTAAATTAGTTTTATTTCTTAACAGTAATGTCTTTTTGAGTTTTTTTTAAAAATATGTTAATCTCCAGGTATTATCATGTTTTTAAGTGAAAGAACTTTTTACTTCTGGTAATAGCTTAGATTTTATAGGAAATCTATTCTTAGCAGCTTAAAGGGAAATAGTTCCAGTAACTGATACATTCTCTCTCCACTAGAGATTAACCATTCCAAGCAGTTGTCCCAGAAGTTTTGCAGAACTGATGCACCAGTGTTGGGAAGCTGATTCAAAGGTACTGTCTTATTATGCTAATAATATATATTAAAGTGGTTATACTGTAATAATATGATAATCGAGGTACTGTAATAGTTTAGCCATGAAAGTAAAGTAAAAAATGCAAGTTAAAGAAGAGCCAGACTTTTGCCTCTATTTATCTGTTCTTAAGAGGATAAGTTAAAGGAGAAATTAAAGTATTTACTCAGAAAATGTTTTCTGAGTCATGGGAATAATCTTTCTTAAACTGACTTGGCTGACATCTTGTTCTACAGAAAACCAGTTAGAAAGAAACTGTGCATATACTAGCGTTGCTACCAAATACAACCTTGCTGTGAAGGTAGTTTAGAGAGGGAAGGATATTTGAGAAAAGAAATTATTAAGAAATCTCGGCCCCTTTAAACTCAGAAGGAGGTGAGTTACTACTTCAGGGAGTCCATAATTAATCCCAGAATGAATTAGTGCACTTAGAGTACCAGAGTGTAGTCACAGAAGAGTAGAATGAGGAACGAAATTTTCTATCTCAGGTTTCTTTTAGGAGCAAGGGGTCGCTTTCCTACAGAACAGGTCTGGAGTATTTGGAAGGCAGAGATCTATCAGCAACACGTGGTTTCCTCACAATTTGAATCTTTGAACCTGCAAAGAGACCAAGTGACCAAGAGTCAGCACCAAATGCCACGGAAGAAAATTTACTGGGACCTCTTTGCTCTAGTTGCTGCACATACTAGTGCTGCTCACTCTTCCACTTGCTCCATCACGATATGTAAGGGTCCAGGAGGCTGCCCCTTTCATGGAGAGGGAGGCATGGGAGGCATCTGCCTGCTGCAAAACAGGGATGCCCAAACATCAGGCTGCATTCAGTCTGCTAGAGTCAGCCTGAGTTTGGCCTAGTCCCCCACAGCACTGTTTCTGATGCATGTAAAGAGTGAACCTCAGGTTAGGCTAATTTTCTTAACGGTTCTTTGCCACTTCTTTGTGTATTTTTTTTTCTGTTAAGTAATTATAAATGCTTTGTTCACATGACTGAAATGGAGTAATCTCTAGTCATATTTTTGGGCCTGTGACTGACGCATTCAAGGTCACGTGTTGGGAAAGAATCGTTGCTTAAGGATCTCAAGTGCTGTGATAAGAGGCTGTGTGGCCTGCATGAGCCAAGAGATGGAGCACACTGCTCTAAAATATTGCACTGTGTAACTTACCCTTTTTGCCAGGATTAACTTAGCGTGTCAGAGTAGATCCATGACCTGGAGGTCAGGCAGAGATGGTGAGCTCAAGAATATCAGCTGCTCAAAAGCAATTGCTCATGTATGCACTTTTAGCCAACACCAAGTGTGAGGTATCTTTGGGTGGGTTTCCCCTCAGTAAAAGAGGGCCAAGATCCTGTGCTTTTACTGAGAGGCCAGGGAATACGTGTGGGGAACTGCCACAAAGCAACAGGAGTGCCAGGCATGGCTCCTGCCATGACTTCCTAATGGGACTGAACACAATCATTTGCTAGAATTTTTTCCTGCTTTGAGAGGAATGTCCCTACTTCATTGCCCCAGGTGATACATGCACTGGTATTCTTTGAATAGTTTAAACTGTTGTAGTTAAAATAAACAGTCCCTTGTGGGTTCAGAGCATTTTGCTAAAATACATCAAGTCAGTAATCATTAAAGAACCATCTCAGGGACAATTAAGTATCTCAGCTACTTCCAAATGTTAAAAACAAGCTGGTTTTGCTTATTAGATAGTATTGGTAGTATTAGATAGCATTAAATAGTTGTACAAACAAGGCTGCTCATTGCTAATGGCTTTGCTTTTGAAAAACAGGTGAGGGTTCTTTCTAGTTTCATCTGATCTTTCCACCCCCCAATCTGTATCCCCCATGGTAATACTGAAGATGACTATAAATTACTGGACATGTGGAAAATCTGGGAATGGAGAAAGAGCAAAAAAGGAAAGGTGCATGGGTTAAGTATGCTACTTTTTTGCAGACCTACTTAGTAAGAAGTAGAGTGGAAGGAAAGAGTGAATGTATTAGCCAGAGATATTTCTAGAATATGCATTTTAAAGATTTTTTTTTGTATGAGACATCACAGATTAAGAAGGGAAGCAATTTTCAGAGGTGAGTGATACCTTGATATTTTAGGAATGTCTTATAAGGAATCACTTATGAAGCCTGAATTTCCAGAAAGTGCTCAGCAGTCATCCACCGAAAATAAGACCAGCTATCAGTCTGCACCTACAGTGCATTTGCTGAATTTAAATTTGCCCTTGCCTTGGGGAGAGAATCCAACAAAAACCGAGAGCAGTGTAGGCCTGTGTCCTCCTGTCACAAGGGAAAAGCTGGGCCCTGTCAGTCTGGCAGGGTACTCGGTGGCTGTCCACACAGCCATGGATGTACAGCCTTTGTCAGGGCTATGTGGCTACTTGTTCCACTAGAGTTGCAAGACCCAACAGCCCCTTTTCCTGTAAAGATTTGGGGCATGGTGCAGCTTGGTTCTATGTAGAAACCAGAGTATGTGTGGTTGCTCATTCCAAATCCATTGCTCAGAGCTTTGTGTCACCATTACCTCAACTCCGATTGCTGCAGGCTGGGCAGTCATGTTGGCCACGTTCACCTGGTATTGGTTCTGCCCCAAACTGCCTAGCATGCCCCCCTCAGACAGAAGGACCACAGTAAATTTACAGAAAGGTTCTGTCAAAGAACCTCAAATAATATTAAGGTGAGAAGGTGACGTTTGCTCTTGGTCTGCTCCTGGAAGTCGCTGGTTTGGTGAAGGTGCCTTGCCCCCATGCCAGTGAGTGGGACAGTGCGCAGGAGCAGCAGTCCGTGCCCCGTGGGGCCCGGGGGCTGCGCTGTGATCCAGGAGCTCGGCACCATCCCCACTGGGGCTGCTGCCTGACTGCCCCAACCGCACCAGGTGCCCCAGGGGCTCCTGCTGCCCCGGCCTCTCCGTAGGCGCCGGGATTGTGGCCGGGTTTGGGGCCGAGCTCCGTGTGTGCGGGAGTGACTGCGGCAAGCGCTGCAGAGAAACCCAGCGCAGCGCCAGCAGCTGCCCCTTCGCCTGAAATCGTGGGGATGGACCAAAAAATGACAGACAAAGCCTCCACTCAGAGACAAATAGAGCAGCATTGCTGTATAAGAGAGCTTGTCTTTTTTTGTTACACATTTGACACTTTTTCAGGCTGTTTGACATTTAAAATAAAGAAATTGTCTTTCTTTTATAATGCGGAAATCACTTGGATCTTCCTGGGAGAGACACCTCAGCATTGTTCCTAATTGTTTTCGTGCTCCCCAATTAAAATGCACGTTTTAATTGCAGCATCTGTAATTTTAGCAGAAATGGTATAATTACAGGCAAGATAGAGAGAGAATGTGCATCATCCCCTTATTATGTATCTACATTTTGTTTCAACCTTTTGTCTCAACCTTGTCTGGGGTCTGTCAAACAGACTAACAGAGTCGGTGCTCTTTCAAGAAACACATTTAGCTGTGGCTCTTTCAGTTATTATTGTATTTTGTAGCTTCCTTTGGGACTAGCTACTAGGGTAGAAAACAGGGAGAAGTTTTAAGTGTTCTCTGTCAATAGCATTTGTGGGTATCACAGCGGGGGCTAGATGGAGAGTCCTGGAACATGATGTCCTGTGACCAGGATGGGGCCAGCACAGAAACCTGAGCTTTGCTGCTGGGCAAAGACGCTCGGCATCTTGGTGGAGCCCAGAACTTCATTTCTCAGTCCTCATGAAATAGCTGTCTAGAGGGCCAGGTTAAAAGTGGAGGGATTTTCCAGAGAGTCTTTCTCCGCAAGAAATGAGTGGCAGCCAGAAAACCGTTCTTGATGGGCAGCGAACTTGCTTGTTCAGGCATTAAAGAATTTAGTTACTACCTGTGACAGACAGCCCGTCTAATGGCCAGTTGCAAATGGGTCCAGCCCTCTCTTTTAGGCAATATTTTCCTCCTGTAGGATGGAGAATCCTTATGGTTATTGCTACTAGGAATGCTGTTCAGTTTTTTTCATTGGATTCAAAGGGGAGTACCAAAGGATTTTATGGGTAGATACGAGATGCTAAGCTAAGGCTTGGGTCCTGTTAGATTATGTCACTCTCTCCAAGCTGACCTTTTTTATTTTTCAGTGGAAAGATAAAAAATCTGTAACTTTATAGTCTTTTTGTAGGCTGCTGGATCAGAAAGCAGAACCCCAATTTCTGTGTTGTTTTCAGACTTTCATTTGGAAATATCCTGTAAGAGATTTTCGCATGGTAAAAGTCAAATATGACTGCAAGTGTTGTTCTTTTTGTCTTCAGAAAAGGCCATCTTTCAAGCAGATCATTTCAATTCTGGAATCTATGTCAAATGACAGCAACCTTCCAGACCAATGTAACTCATTCCTGCATAACAAGGCAGAGTGGAGGTAAGTTTTCTTGCTTCCGAGATGAAATGATACAGTGTTCTTGGAAATGATGTGAATCCTTATTTGTTTCAGAAGCGTTTGTATGCAAGAGGAGAGACATCAGACATTGATGATGTATTACTTTAGGGGTATTTTTAGAATATAATTTACCTTGTTTTCCAGGAATGCTCAGAATGTCGTGAAACTTGTGTTAGGAGCCAACACGCTTAGCTGTACACTGCGTTTGCAGGCTCAGGTGTCATGGTATTTATGGTTTTGTGATTCACATCTTGAATAACCCAGTTATGCATTTCCAGTCAGTAGCGCGAGAATAAAAACAACTCAGGTAAATGCACGGAGTGATGTAATATTCTTGGAAAGTAAGGACATATGTTTATATCAAAAACATGATAAAAGGCATAAAGGCCAAATTTTCAAAAATAACGAGAAATAGAAGTTTGATTTAGGTGTTCTGCCATTTTTGAGCACATTTTCCATTGCATTCTCTTTGTATGCATGCATTTGGCAGCAGCTCGGCCGTCAGGTTTTGCATCGTGCACCAGAATGGCTCGAGCATGTGGTTTCACCCGGAGCGTGATGACAAGCGCAGAGGAGATGAGAAACACGACACCACTTTAGAGTAGAAGTTTCAGGCTATTTTTTGCATGTGCTGAAACTTCAAAGGCTGTCCCCAAAGTTTACCTATCAGTTAGAAAGCCCGCAGCCCCACACTACAGCTTTGTGTTTGGAAGAGAAAATTGCACACAGATCTGCACGGGCAGGAGAGTTTGACCAGACAGTCGTGCCTCGGTCTATATTAAGAAGCTCTGGCCCCTCTCCAGGTGACCTGGGAGCATAAATATGAAAAGATTCCCTGCGTGCGGACTGTGAAAGATGTGAAGAAAGCTGGAGCTGGGGGTGCATAAAGGATGGGCAAAATATGGCGGAAATGATTTTTTTTTTTTTTTAACAAAATAGTGTTTTTCCACAAAAAAAACGTGCCTCGGAAATCGATCCATGCGGGTGGAAAAAGTGAGCTCAGGGTGGGCAGCAGCGCCCGGTCACATGGCGGGTATAAATAGCGCCTGGCGCGGCCCGCGCGCCCGCCCTGACTCAGCAGCGGGACGCGGGGCCCGCGCGCCCAGCCCGCGCCGCAGCCTGCGCCGCCACGCGCAGCAGT